TGTCAACTCCGTCTGACAGAGTGTTCATGCCAAGCGTCGCCAATTGTTGGGTGACCTGGTCAGTCTGAAGGACGGAAGCGGCCAACCAAACGGGGACATGTTGATACGCGTACAGAATTCAACTCAACAGAAAGATCTTCACGGCAAGGCAACACTCAGGTGCTCGGACCACCACGCTGCAAGAATCTTCAAGGGGATCTGACAATCCAAAACCGACAAAAATCCTGCCTCGAGGAGCGATTCCAGACTGCGACCTAAGAGTGGGCCACATTTTGCACTCCCTTTTCTGTGACCGCCTGGTTGAGATGCAAAGCACGTCACCAATCACTGCCCGCGGAGGCGAGATGGGGGGGGAATGTTGGGGGTGGGAGGGAGCGGGAAGGCTGCGGAACACTCTGCTCTCTAAATCTTAAACCCAAAGCCTCTGTGACCGCGACTGCTGGGAGCAACTAGCGAGCTGCGGCAGCCAGTCGCTTGATTTCGGGGATGATGTTTGAAGCGCAAAAACAGATCTGTATCTAAAACATCCGGGTCGCTTGATCTGAGAATGCAAGAACAAAGCCGTACTGTTGGGGGATGTGGTGCGCCAGAGCAAGCAGGTTCTGAGATCCAGGCCATGGCCTGCTACGATCGCATTACCATCCTTTGCGAGCTTTTCAGCCTGCCGTGGAGCGTCTCTCATCATCTGGAGGATTCTGGAGGTTCCAAGACCTGGTGTCAATGCGCCTGCTCCGCCAACGCGGCAAGGCTCCCAGCCACAGTTCGCAGGCTTGCTTCAACAGCTCTAACCTGCAGCACAGGAGCTCAAGCCACAAGGCCGTCTGCTCAACCAAGCCATGGCACAGGCCTGCTCCTGTGGAGTGCTTGTCTCCGGCTGCCTTGGCGCGTTCCGCTCAGCTTGGAGGACCCCAAGTCTCAGTGAACCAAAAACCTGGCATTGTGCCAACGAAACGAACAGTGGCCCCTGAAATGAAGCTATGGAAAGGATGGGCTGGCTCACGGTATTCTTTCATCGTTCCTTCAGCTGTGCTGCACCTCCAACGCCTTGAGAAGAGCTTGCTTGCGCAACTGCAGGCTCCGCAGGCTGTGCACAGCAGCAAGAACTTTGCAGCCTGGCAAACTGGCTGAAGCTTCCGAACTGGCTTTGAACCGTCTCTTCTGTGGCTTGTTTTACCCTGAAGCAGCAGCAGCGCAGAGCCTCGATGGGCACGTAGCAGAGCACCTTGCATTTTGCTGGACTTGGATGATGAAACCAACCACTCTAGACTGTTCGAGCAGGGAGGAGACAAACTGCGCCGCGGGACCTAGCCCTCTAGGCATTATATGTAGTGGTCCCCTTCCTCCGCTCTGTCGGCTACCCAGGGCATGCTCCTTGTTTCTGCTTGAGATCAAGGACCCTTCCCTCCCCCAATGTGGGTCTGGTTTGGGGCGTTCGGGCTCTGTATGGATTATAAGAGGTCTCGCTAGAATCTTCCCCTCGTGGGTGGGTGGGTGTAGGTGTGTAAGTGGGGGTGAGTAATTAAGCGTACGATATGTGATCTTCGACCGTGTAAGTCACAAATGCCCTCTGACTTGCAGGCATGCAGGCAGGCACGAAGGCACCCACCCACCCACCCGCCACCCACCCACCCACCCACGCACCCACACATACCAGCGGAATGCTTTCTTGGGGGGTGTTTTAGAAGGTTTTAAGACTTTAAGAAATACAAGCTCTGGATGGGAAACTGGAGACATCCGAATGCAAAATCGATCAGTCACAGGATGTGACGAGGATCGCGCCTCGAACAGCCCACTTTTGACTTTGGGCACTTTTCTGATCCTGTTTCAGGCAGAATCAGATTCCCAAAGTGATGACCGTCGCGAAGATGGCGCCTGCCAGGCACGCCATCCTGTGACAGTTGGCACTGTTGAGATCGCGAAAGTCTGTGGAGATCATCTGCGCTCACCTGGCCCTCATCCCCCACCCTTAGCGAACACACCATGCGGCGGGTTGGGGGGGGGCGCCTTACCGTCAAAACGACACGGGACCGTGTATAGTGGGTTGTCTCTTCTTGCGGCCAAGATGCCGAACTGCAGCAGGGCCATAATCAGAGATGCCTGGTCAAAATGCAAAGACAAACGTACTTGGAGGTCAGAACGACAGCTACGAGCCGCTTTACCTTACTTTCAATGGGTCTGCAAAACAGATCTTGCCGGCTTGCAGTGGCTAAGAGCATCGTTCCAAAAAGCAGGGTCTGAAAAATCTAGAAGTCATTCAAACCAAGCCAGACATGCGAGTTTCATGCCACCAGTGCTCCCGTCACCAAGTTTACCGGACAATTTGCGACAGCTGCTGTAACCGCTATTGGCGAAGTATTGCTTTTCTTTTATTGCTACAAGTATTGCTACTACTACTAAGACTACTACGTCTACTACGTCTACTACGTCTACTACGTCTACTACGTCTACTACTACTACTACTACTACTACTACTAGCCCCACCCCCTAGGCACTACGTTTTACTTAAATTGATCATAAAATCCCCGCGAAGGCGGCTAGTAGCGGTACTGACGTGAATGTAATGGTTGCTGCCCGGACCTAGCAACAGTGGACTAAAAGGGCCATTTTGTAAGGGCTCTATGTGGTAATCTCTTTGAATATTATGACACTGTTGCTAGGTGCGGACAGGAGGGATGCACGCCCTTATTGCAGTCGTCAGAAGTCCACCAGCGGCGGCATCTGAGTATCACCTCTCCGTGGTGCTTACCATACGCGTCCGCCAGTGGTTGCTGCCCGGCCCTAGCAACAGTGGGTTGAAGGGGCCACTTTGTAGGGGCTCTACGTGGTTAAATCTTTGAATGTTCTGACACTGTTGATGGGTGCAAGCTGCCACTCCCATCGCACTTGCTGCGGTCGTCGAAGCTCCACCGGCGGCGACATCTCAGAATTACGTACTGATTGAGGTTTGCTTGCACGGAACTACCCCCCACCCCTCCCCCATTCCCAACCTATCGTCCTGACAGTGAATTTAAGTAAACCGTAGTGCCTTGGGGGGAGACGCCTCCTACTACTACTACTACTACTACTACTACTACTACTAGCCCCACCCCCCCTGGGCTACTAGTACTACTACTACTTCTTCTACTACTACTCTTCCTCCTCCTACTGCTCTACTACTGCTCCTCCTCTTACTCGTACTCCTACTCCTACTCCTACCCCTACCCCTACTACCTCCTCTTGCTGCTGCTACAACTACTGCTACTACAAAGACTGCTACCCCGACCACCACTACAGCATCGTTGTGACATGTTGAACACTGTTGTGGCACTACCAATGCATCGACGATGACTGCCATCATCATCACTCGCCCTTGCTTGCCGGTTTTTTTCATAGGGAGTGAGGGAATATGTTAAATGAAATCGGGATGATATTCCCTTCTTCCCTACTCAGAACCAGTAAGCTTGCTTGGGTCTTCGAGCCTCAGCGCCCACGCATCCCCGACGGAAACCTTCTCCGCGGCAGTTGGCTGCTGAAAGCACCTGCACAAGGAAGTACGTTAGAAAGGGAGAATCGAATGTCAAAGAACGCGGAAAGCTACATAGACATAGAAACTTGGTTTATTTAGGGTTTGCAGAGATTGACGGTAGTGGCTTAGAGTAGTGATGGAAAATAAAATGAAAGCTAGGCTTCTGTGAACATGCTCAGGGCTGCTCAGACTGTTGGCGAAAAGCCCAACAAAACCTTACACCTCGCGCGTGGATCGCTGCACATGCTGCAGCCTTGAGCAGATTCTCGGCTCTCTTCAGCAGCTTGGCTGCTGCAGTAGCGCTCTGCCCAAATGTGCCTCACTCAACAAACAAACCAACACATGGGAACGTTTGATGAATCTGATAAAGTAGCAGCCTGTAGCATGCGTTTCGTGCCATTGCGACTGCAATAACACATCCTGCATCATCGTGATCAGCGATAGTTAAGGATGTTACCTGCACGAACTCCAGTGAGTAAGAGGGCTTGTTGGCACAAAGTGATGATCAGGTCCAAAGCTAGAGCCCTGCAATGTTGCCAAAAGACGCTCTGCTGAGATTTCACGAAACTCTCGCAGAATCTCATCCAGTCGGGATCTTTCCTGGCTTTGCAGGCCAGGTTGAGATGAGACTTTGCCGAAGGCAGATAATGAGTAAGATCCTGTTGGCTCAAGGCTTGAAAATGCTTGCAACTAGCTTGGAAACCGAATGGCAGCTCTACGAGAAGGGGTGCAACGGCACTGCACATGGATTCTTGGTGATGCAATGAGATGCAATGCCTACTTTGTCTTGATCATTCTCCCGAATCTCTGAGGACCCAGCTTCCTAATGGCGCGTTTTTGTTGCGTGCTTGCTAGGGCTGCAGCGTCAGCAATAATTACATGTATTTGAACATCCTCAGACCTCATCCGCACAACACCAAGGATCCTGCCTTTCGAAAACTATGATGCCATCGACAGCGGAATTTCAAGCACAGGCGGGAGTCTGGGCCGCGCAGTAGCAGCATCGCGCGCTTATTCCCAACCAGGAAATGGGCGACGTCGGCTGCAGCTGCTGCCTCAAGGGATGAGAAAGGCACAAATGCGGTCACATGGACTCGCACGCTAGGCAACAAAGCTACTTCCGGCGAATTGCAACAAGGCTTGTGTCAGTTTCCTGGATTCACGGACATTATTAGGTTGTAAACGAACCGGAGAACTCGGGTACCAGAGGGTAGGACCGGAGAATCACCAGCCACATCCGAGCTGCGCCTAACCTGCTAAATCAAAAAGCCACCTCCTGGGGCGACATATGCCAGCAGTCGCCAGTAAGCGAGGAGCTTAGAGCTGTGCAGGGCCAGCACAAAGCCGGGCAACAACAGAAAACCAGACATGCAGAAAGCAGGCCTGGGGAGGACAGAAGTCAAAAAAGAAACAAGCAGAAAGCAACACACGGAGACAACAAAAAACAAAAATCAAGAGCCAGGACAATGCAACTCGCAAGAGATGTGTCTTGAAATCAGGGCACCTTGTGTGCGAACCGCGATTGGATGGCATCGAAGTCGAGAAGCTCACGGACTCGGCTTACATCCTGTGCCGCTACTGCCCAAAACATTTTGTCTCGCTCCCTTTGCGGGGCGAGGATACCGCAATCTTGTTATCTTGTAGGGACTTACCCTTTGGTTGAGGATGTTTTGTGATTTGTACAAAAAGTAGCACATTGCAGGTGTGTCTCTACATTGAAAGAAAAATGCGGGCAAATCCTGACGCCCAGCACGAGGCCTGCCAGATAGGGTGTTCAGGAACAAGTGCCTGAGTTTGCTGTAGACGTTCAAGAGGACGGCGGCTGATCAGATCCTTCACATGGCCGAGAAAAATGAGCTTGCAACGTGTACACGACACAAGGAAGAGGCAACTTCGCGCACAGCGAGATGCAAAGCTCCTGTCCTTCACAGCGGACAGAACATTGCTGGGGATGATGGAGTCCTCGCGCTCTGCAACGGTCGCCAGGATGCGCGAGACCAGCAAGGGCTTTTGCGGGCATGATGTGACTTCAAACGTGTTGAAGTCTACTTCAACGTGCAGTTGGTCGCCGGTGTACGGAGTCAGCATCTGATCCAGCTCCGATTGCAGGCGCTGCATTTGCAGCTTCAGCTTGGCCAAGGTGTCATCCGCACCTCGCTTTCGGTTATCCGCTTGCCGCTTGGCGGACTTCAAGCTGTGAATGGCCTCCTGGAACTTCTTCGTGATTTTCGGGTGCCAGGCCTTGAGCTTATCGGAGAATTCGCTGAGATGCATCAGGAGCTCAGCACGGAGCACTCCGCGGTGTCGCACCTGGGTTTCTACCTGACCCACGAGGTCTGCGCGAGCCTTGGCTGCCTGGAACAGCAGTTGCTTGGTCTCCTTTTGAAAGTTCTTGTGGAACTCGGCCTCAATCTGTTTGTTCAGCAGGGACTCCGCATGCTCAACGGCCTGCCGCAGAATCATCTTGTTGCTCACAGCCTCATCCAATCCTGCATTCAAGTTGTCCATGCGGTGCCAACGGTCCATCAGCTCGTCGTATGTGTGGTGCAGGCGAAGGCGAGACCTGGGCGTAGATTGACTCACTGCTTCGCAATGCTTTGCAATCATCTTTGGAGCTGCCTGCGCCTGCGCCTGCCAAATCCAGCAGCCTACAAATCCACGCACACAATGCCAGTGCGACACGTGGCTTCAGTTGCTCCAAGCTCTTGATGCGCTGGTGCTCTCCGAATTTTTCAACCTTGAACACCTGGATCTGCACAATGCATTTGCATCGACTTCGGACCAGGAGAGACATCAGACAAGCTAGAAGCTGGGTCAAACCTCCCTTCATCAAATCTGGAATTTTCGCAGAAGTCCAAAATGGAAACACGAGTGAGGACCAAAGGGCTGAAGTGCGCTTACGGGCTTAGCATCTAATTCATCCAATCAGTCAACTGCGATTAGACAGAACAGCTTCCATCCTGAGAGCTTTTCCGCCCGCCTCCTTCGTAAGGTATGCGAACCACTGATGCGTCATCTTGTCCGCGCGGGAGCAGCCGATGTCTCTCGCTTCCTCTTGAAATACTTGCAGTTATCCGATTCACCACTTGCATTGGGCAGGGCAGTGAACTGAACTGGACTTTCAAGCAACATGAAAGCGGAACGGGCTTTTCAAAATCGTTTGTTTGAAGCCTTGCTGCTCCATGCTCTGCAAAGGTGTCAGCTGAATCTGGCTTCTGGATGATTCGGAAAGTGCATCTGACAAGGCTTGGGCTACTTTGCAAAACCTGCATATGGCCAAAGCAGTCGGGTCGCCCTCAGCGATCTCATGACATCCCCCATGGACGAATCCAAGTCAGGGGGTGCATCTCGAGGATCCTGAGCGGCGGATGCCGAAAATCAATCTTCTTAAGCTCGGCGGTGAGATCAGCAATCTATCTCTTCATGCTCACTAATCTGCTTCTGGGTCCACTCTTAACAGCTCTGAAAACGAGCTCCAAAATCCAGAGCCAGGCTGCAGCAACAGCCGTTGCCTCCAAGGGGGTGTTCAGACATCGCCAGACCTGCACCAGGTGACTGGTCACCGTGTCGATGCCTTCGCTGCCAGCCTGCACCGAATGCACCACCCTTAAACTCATCGGGGGTACACTCAAACGAGGTTCCTTGCTCGCCTCTACATGCCCCTACAGAGGTCTGCACAATCAACAGCACAGTGACTGCGTGTGACCAGCTGTTATGGCTCAGAGGTAAGAACTTGATGCCCAGGCTGACAGCCCTAACCCCAGTCGTATCTGAAATACGACTCTCGCACACGTGATTTACAGGCAGGTGCTCAGGTCTCCCTTTTCCTGCCTGAAAGAAATTGGCCAAGTAGCCTCCAATCTGATCCCGGAGCTCCTTCTGCTCCTTGGTGGGTGAAGAGGGAGCTGGCATGCACTGCGCTGGGGCTCCTACGGTTGACCTTTACAACCGTGCACTGCTACTTTGTGGTCAAAGCCTCAAGTTCCACAACAGCTTCTATGTGGTGACATCAAGACAGGTGTACCTAGATCGTAGATTGGGTTTCCGCTCCGGGCCTTCCCTCTTTGCGGGCCCATCTGGGGGGCGCACCGCATCATGGACTTCAGCTTGCCACTCGGTGCCGGCCCCGTAGGCATCCTTGGCTCTTTGACGTGAAAGGGATTCCTGGTGCTTGCAGTGCAGAAGTCAACGGCTCTGTTGAGGTTTCCTTTGGCTTTTTCAAACCAAGCGTCCGCTGTCTCGTCCAAAAGATCCTGCAGCTTGTCAATCCAGGAGCCATCCAAGGCCTGACTTGCGCTGAGACTATCTCATCCACATTCAGGCTGTCTGGCAGGTCCTTTCGGTATCAAGCGCCGCCGGCTTACAACACACCAAAGCAGGCCTGCCTTCTCCTTCCCAAGGTGGTCGGAAGTCATCCTCAACACAGGCTTATACTGGCCGCAAGCGGCTACCAGGCTGCACTTGCTCATGTTCGTTGGACCAGGCTTCGAAGCGGGGCCAAAACAACAGTACTGCTGCCAGGGTTCGCATAAAATCGCCGCCTGTTGGGACCCTTTGCTTGGTTTGTCTGCTCCTGTAGCAGCAGGATGCAGCAGGCAGCCTATCAACATGCTTCTGAAGTAATTAGGCCTCGCAGACACCAGAGCTCCATCACGCGCGCGCGTTCACATCAACATTCCTTGACACCGGTCTGTTGACCTGCACCCATCCCCAGTCCTGCTTCTTGGCCGTCGCTCGAGATCTTCGGGCCTGAATTTGAGCAAGGCTTGCCAAGAGAGCACGTACCCTCAACACTGCTCATTGCTTTCGTGGTTCCTTCCAACATTGACGATGTCTGAATAACGGCAAGTAGAGTGCATGGGTGCTGTGATCTGTTTCAGCTAACTGCAATTAGCAGCTTCGCAAAGGTTCAGAAACCCATGGGGAACAGGAATGCCCTGGCTTGATTGCCCCTCGCGCCTTCTGCAACATCTTGCGAGTGATGGTGCCATGGTAATGCCGGAGGGCGGCTCCCACATCCTCGCATCTTCTCGCATCTACAGTTCTTGTGAGACGCATGTCTGTGATAGTCTATGAAATGACTTCTGAAGACAGCGCCTCGGGCTTGCAATATCCAGCATAGTGCAGAAGGTGTATGTTTACATGCCTCCCCCACTGCTGACAAGAAACGTCTTCTGTCAGAGCAGCCTGAGTATGCAAGCCGCCTGATTTGCGGATGTAATGCTTCAAATGCGTTTGACATGCAGACAGAGAGAGAGAGAGAGAGAGAGGGGGCTGTCCCAGAAGCCCAAGCACAGCGGACACCAGAAATAGGTTATTTGCATCTGTGCTGCTCCCTTCACTGAGTTCACCTCATCCTCCTCTTCCGGTTCCTCAGCAGAGTCTCCGTTTTCATCCAGCAGGTCCATCGTCAGCACGCTTGCCATGACTCTCGGGCTCAAAGAGCCGGTTGAGCTGCTGCCTTGGCTTTATCTTTCCAACGGTGCCTCCATATGCCATAATCTGTCTAGCCATGGATGAGTCGAGTAGCCCCGCGGCTACACAGAAAGTGCTTGCCAGGCTGATGCCGTCTGCAGATGACAAATGACTGCTGCAAGGTCACTTTCATCTGCTCAACACGGCATCCCAAGAAGTAGCCTTCGCCAGCTTTGCCAGGAGGCCCCATGGCAGCACGCCGTTTCTGAGCCGATCTCGGGTTCCAGGGATGTGAGGAGGCCTGCTTCTGTAGGGACAAGAAAGAAAATACCACATGTTTGGAACTGGGTGACAGGGCCACTAGGGGGATTTGCGCGAGTCATCATGGGTGCTCTGCCATCTGAGCCGAGCTGGAGTCACATGTGCATCTGTTGTCTCAGTGAGCAAGGCTAGATTTTGCCCAAACTATCATGCAGCTCATGCCTGCATGCAGCGGCATACAAAAATCAAAGGCAAACTGAACAGAACTCAGCTTTTCTCCGCCCTTAAATATAATGTCGACACAGCGATGTACAGACATGGCCACTCCCTCCGTAGCTCCCCGGCATGTCCGGCTTGTCCTGGACTGCCTCCTCTTTCACCACTTGCCACGCACGACCAGACCGAGTGCGTCAAACTTCTCTGCCCCAGCCCGGCTTGTCGGGACTGGGCCTGGAGACTCTTCGGATGAGCCTCACTTTCCGTCTGACAGCGCAGTTCCTCCGCAAAACCAGCTGGGAACTCCCAAGCAGCGGCGGCCATGTCGCCAAGCCATCCAAGCCGCAGAGAGACTCTCAGAACTTCCGTCAGCCTCTCTTCAGCCGTCAGTCACGTCCCAGCATTTTGGCGGCCTGAGAGCTGAAGGCAGGAAAAAGACAAAGGCTTTGAAGTCCACGGAGTGAAAGCAACCCTTGAACGTAAGCAGCGAAGTGAAATCTAACCATGATCTCGGCAAATTGCTACCGTGACAGTAGGTAGAGTTGTTGGGCAAGACCTTGGGTTAAAAGTCTGTTCTAGACATGACGGCCTCCCAATCAAAAATGGCAAGGGCACTTGGGCTCTGACCTGTTGCAGTGTTCTCTTCAGCTTTCTCAGTGCCTGCAGCTGAATGAGGTCTCTATTGCTGGATATTGCTGGTGGGCTAGACATGCTTGAAAGGTTACAACGGGACGTAGGAAGTGGAGTGTCCACAATGGAAGTAGATACTGGGAGTTGCAACCCTCATAAAATCCCCTCAGCTGACCTGATGTAGGGTACGCTAGTTGTAATTCGAGCTAGAACCAAGCTATAACCAGTTGCTGGGAGGTGAGTAAATCCGGTAAACTGCTCTTCCAATGTCCCTGACATTCGGCGATGACTTCTGCATCTCACCACAGCAAAGGCCTGCTCTTTCGAGGTGCCCTCAGCTTGCGCACTGTCCAGGGCCTGTGGTTGGAGTTGCATCCGAGAATATTGGCCAAGGAAGGACCGGCAGTATGAAGGAGAAATAGCAAGTTGTGCTGGCTGCACCCGGGGACTTGAGAACAGTTTTCACCAGCCCGCTCAAAGGGATCTTCAGCCACATGACTGGGAAGACAGGTTTATCTGAGCGGACACTTCAACAGGGCTTCCAAACCAGCACTTCCTGGCGAGCAAGTTTTATTTGATATGAACGCCAAGGGATGGCATGGCACTGACTGCTTTCAGCTCATGAAACGGTGGCTTGAACTGAAGTTGGAAGGGTGCGGTTTTCTTTTCCGTTCTTCCGACAAAACCCTATATTGCGCCATATATCCCTAGCCCTAAGACCTGAACCCTAAACCCAAACCCTATATATGGTAGTTTCCCAAAATAAGGGGACGATATAGACACCAAAATACGATAGTCCTTACTATAGGAACCCCTCAAAGGTACCCTTGGGCAACCCCAATCACTATGAACCCCTATATAATCCCAGCTTCCATGACACTTTCCATGTTCTTTTCCATTTGATTCTCAATTATTGGGGGGATGATATCCCCTATAAGCCCTAAACCCCAATCCCTAAACCCTAAACCCTAATCCCTAAACCCTAATCCCCAAACCCTAAACCCCCATCCCTAAACCCTAATCCCTAAACCTCCATCCCTAAACCCTAGTCCCTAATCCCTAAACTCAAAGCAGAGTAAAAACTCAAGGAGCCCACCTCGATCAGCTGAGCACAGAGGCCCTTGGCTTGGCGGCTCACAGCCTGGCACACATGAAGCATGTGGGACGCATAGGGATACTGGAAAAGAAAATGGAATCTACTATAGGGATTCTATTATATAGGGGTCATATAGGAATTATATGAGCTATAGCCTAAACTCCTAGTATCCCCTTACTAAACCATATAGTAGTCCCCTGTATAATCCTCTACATACCCCCCTATTTAAGGAGTTTAGATTATGGCTCATATTGCAATGTTAGGGGTTATGCAGTTATACAGGAGTAATGGAAAGGAAAAAAGAAAACGGACACTGCCACATATTAGCATGTTACAACAAGGCATTTCCCCCTTAAACTCCACTTTCCTTTTGATTTTCTATAATTGGGGTTTAGTAA